GATATGGTGATTTTTGTGATATTTCTCTTTCTTTTTATTTTATTTATTTATATCCCATCTTTATTATTTTTACAAATAACTCAAGGTGGCGAACATATCCAATATCCCTTTCTCCTACCATTTTCCCTACAACAACAACTTTGTGAGATAAGTTGGACTGAGAGAGAGTGGCCCAAAGTTAGCTGGCTTTCATGGTTAAGACAGGACTAGAACTCATGGTCTCTGTTTCTAGCCTGATGCCTTAACCAGTAGACCAGGGGTAGGCAACCTTGGTTCTTTTATGGCTCGTGGACTTCAACTCCCAGAATTCCTGAGCCAGCACAGCTGGCTCAGGAATTCTGGGAATTGAAGTCCACAAGTCATAAAAGAGCCAAGGTTGCCTACCCCTGCACTAGACCAAAGTGGCTCTCTATACTCGCCTTTCCCCAAATTTGTGCCCAGCTTTTGTTTTATGTGGAGACTGATTGCACCAGTGGAACTAGAGTGGAATCTACCAACAGGATATGTTGGATCTGTCTCCTTTTCTGATATTCTTTAGGTACTTGTATGCTATCTCTGCCTAACTAATGGTAGAGTAAGTTCTGACATATCTGTATTTGTATATTATAGCCAGGATTTTCGAAAACGCATGGCAGACAGTTCTTGACTACTTTTCCTTGCTACTATTGTTGGGGGGGGATATGGATGCTACTTCTAAGGATATGTATCATAGATACATTTACAAGCAGCCTTGGCTGGCTTCTCAAAAGTCAGAATCAGAAGCCATGGTTTCTTTTTGGCATCTGTTCCCTGAGTTGTTTGGGAAGGAGGAGCCAGGTTTATAATCCATTTATTAGAAAAAAATGTACATGTTTAGACACTAGAGAGACGGAACCAAGCACAAGCAATTGAGCAGCATGTATTAGAATGATGGTTCATTCATGATATGTTACATTGTTTTGACAATTCCAGCTAACTCCGACATGTAAATATTCCCATTTCATTTAATACATGATTTTCTGCTCTGATGCTAACATTTTGGAAGCAAATCTTGTATTTGTATTAGATCAGTTTTAGCGGGAACTAACATAGCTATAGAGATGCATGGAAATGATTGTTTTGATTCCCTTCCTAGGACATGTGCAATTTTTGTCCAGTGTTCTTGCAACATCTCTTAAAACATTTGAAGATGACCACAGCTTATCTACTAAATCTGAAAAACTACACAGAAATAACAGTTTAATAACTGTTAGTACCCCACTTATTTTTATTAAGCAATAAGCCCATTATTTTGGTAGACTATTGGATTTACTATTTGTAAGAAAGAGTATCCCTCCCTTTTTAACCCATCACAGAATATTGATACTGGAACTATGATAGGCAAGGGTTTTTTAGAACCCTACTAGCACACTAGACTGGTTAGATAAAAGTAAGATGGAACCATAGAGCCTTGTTGTTCCAGAAGACTTTAATGGGCTCACCAGGTTGGAGTTATCAGTGTTAAGATGGGTTTATTTACCCTCTAACAAATTCCATATGCTGATAATAAAGCCTGCTAACTGTTACATTTGGTCCATACTGATGATGTAACTGATAACATTCTATAGAGAAAAATCTACCAATAGAATTTTAATTTTATATTATTAAGGTAGCAGCTGTAAAAAAAAATAAAAAAAATACCAACGGTTGAGCTGGGATCCTTGCACACCTAAATTTGAGTATATATGGGCAAACTGATGTTCACAAGTACAATAGTAAGAACCCTTGGTACAGAACTTAAATTATTGTTTCTTCATATTTTCCAACCTTACTGCATTTTTGTTATCTTAGTAGAATGTTTGCTATCTTCCCAAACCTCTTCCAGTTTTTCACCCCTATCCTGGGTGTTTTGTAACCCAGAGAAAACAAAAGATACTTCCTTGTGCCCAATTGGATGACTCAGTTAAGACCACATTTCTGGCTTCATAATTCATTTCATAGGTGTGCTTCAGAAGGAAAATGCATCCTCTGTGACACACAGTTTCCATTTCTAGTTTTCTAACAAGCCTGTATTTGCTTATGTTGGGTTGAGGGTGCTCCTGGTCCGCTCATCCTGGTCTGATGAAGTCTTGATTGCTTCTCTTCCAGCATGAGAGGTCTGGCATGAGAGCAGAGCTTTGAATCAGAGCAATGCCTGTGAGGAAAGTGAGGATGTTTTTGAATTTTGCTCTGGCTAGTCAAGAAAAACATCAGGAACTGATAAGGCAAAGACAAACCATAATGGGTCATATCCATCCTAAGGACCTATCTAAAATTACTCTACTACACGGAGAGCAGGAAATGGGTATTATGAAGAAATTCAGACTTAAATAGCTCTCTCCTTGGCAGCCTGTAGCTTGTTTTCATTAGGTCAGGGGAGGTGAGTCAAGCTTGAGGAAATGGGGCAAAATGTCAAAATCCTCGATTCACATTCCACACAAAGGTAAAGAGATCTCAGGCTACTTGAATTTAATTGCTTCTGTGCTGAAATTGCTGGATTCACCAATCAGATAAGAAGCACATAAAGTACATTTAGGAGCAGTCTGTCCTTTAAGTCTGGAGCACATTTTGAGCCTAGGGGTTTATGTTCAATAAAGAATAGAGTTTGAAGTCCTTTAAAATTAAAGCCCAATCTTGCTTGCTCTATTTCCATAGTTTTAGCTGAAATGGAAAAGACCATTTGCTGGGAATTAGATATCCAGTTTGCTACAATCCCCATTTCCATAAACTTGGTGGCTTATCACTCATCCAACTGGTGTCTTTGATAGAAGTACACATAAGCTGTTGACCAGTTCTGCACTTCAGATTAAATTGCAGCTTATTCTGGCTACATTGATGATTCAGTATAATGCCCCTCCATAAACATAGTTTACAAACTATAGTGGATACTATTTTTGTGTATTTTATATAATTGCCCATTTTGTATTTTGTAAACTTAAAGCCTCCACATTGAATATGTTTTCTGTCTCTTCCTGCCTTCCACCTTTCTCTTCCCCAAATCTGTAGCTTCTTTTTATGCATCTTTTTCTAAGATCACTGCCCTTTGTTTATAGGCAGTGCTTATATTCCTCTATTTAATGTAGTACATAAAGGGAAGTAATAATCTGCTTTTTCCCCCACTTGCCAGTTTCTTCTATCTTACCAAAAAGTCATGCTTTCCCCCAGAAACCTATCTTCTTTTTGGAGAATCCTCATAGTTATTGTTGGGTTTTTTAAAATATATATATATATATAGCAAAACAAAGTTTGGCAATGATGGGCTACTTTTACAGTGGCTTTGCTGACTTGACACAATGATGTATTTTAGCTGTTGACTGGTTATTTTTATTTTCAACTGGTTATCAATGTTTTGTATTGGTTTTTGGTTACCAACTTTGGTATATTTTGGTTATAGCATTCTGGCTAGGGAATTCCTAGGAGTTTAAGTCTGTACTTTTAAAGTTGCCAAACTTGAAAAACACAGTTTTAGAATTGTAAGCCACTCAGACTCCTTTGGGGGAGAGAGTGGCCATACAAATTGAATGAATAAATAAATTTGTATTTTTCATTTCTTGAGAATATATTATGGCAATTTTCGAGGTCAAGCAATCAGAATACTGCCCAACCCTGCTCTTACGTATGCTGATTTGCCACCTGAAAGTCTAAAGATTCCTCCTGTATGCTGTCATCTTGTCTTTTGATGGAATAAGCAGGATAATTTTCATGCACCAGCTGAACTGGATTCCCCAGGCACTTGTGTTTGGCAAGTTTTAATCCCTCAGCATATAGCAATGGAGTAGTTGTGTATGAAAGCACCTTTCTTGTTGTATGTGACCATGTGAACTGAGTATGCAACTGCTACAGTAATTTTATCAAAACACATGGCCACCAGGCTCAATGCAATGCCATTTTTAAGAATCTTCATCAGAAAGGCACAATAAATAATTGCCCCCATCTTGCTGCAAACATTACCTCACCTTCTGTTAAATTTCAGGGGGCTTTTTTTCTCTTTATTTCATTGGATTCGTTTAGTCTTTTGATTAAGATGCCTTTCATAAATAAGTCACGTCTGTGGATTAAAAGAAATGGACAGGCGGCAGTGAAGGGGTTTACAGGATGTTGTCTTCTTCAGAGCCTCATCCATTATGACCCAGCTTGCTCATTTAGTCAGAGTTTCTCTTGGCTTCCAGCTTAGCCTGAACACAAGGGCAAGTCACTTCTGAAATTTTGCCATGAAAACTTCAGGGACTTGTCCAAGCACTTGCTAAAAGTCACCACTACTTGTAGGCACCCAAAAAAGCCACAAACTATTGTGAAGGAGGAATATGAAATAATCTCACAATAGCATATTGATTCTAGTCCAAATTGTGGGGAAAATACCTACAAACCTCAGTGGCCTTGGAATGACTAAGCAGTCCTAGGTTATAGCCTGCTGAGTCATAATGACTGTGGTAAGTAGCACAGAGTGGCATTGTATGGCGCTCTCAACAGAAAGTTATCTGTGCTTCTGGTTGACCTGAGGGAACCACACGAAAAGGACCATCTTGCTCCCTCTTCTAATTGAAAAAGGAGGTAGGGGGAAATAGCTTAATCTGAGCAATATTCCCTCATAAGTATTTTGATTTTTAAACTTTTTAATTCTCTCCATTTCAAGTGTACCTGATATTCTTTGGAGCTAAGACTGAAGGTTCTGTGTCTGGCAAACCACATATGTATACATGCAGCCAGCATGCCTGTTTCATGGATGTGGGGAGGTTAAAGATGATCTTCTGGAGGAATGGTATATTCACGGAGCAAAGGAGGTGCCTTCTGCCTCCTGAGTGCACAGCAGTGCAAAGCCAGAAGTGAGCTATTGCCTTGGGTCGTACACTACCTAACCAGACCTCTTGCTTCTCTGTCCCCTGTGCAGGTATCAAGACTTTGCTGCATGCCAGGCCTCTGTAGCAAGGCCCCCAGCTTAGCCGCCTCTGCTGGTGCCCCTGCTCTTTTCCTGCATTCCTTCGTGCAATGCAACTGCTTCTGTGATGTATGCCCCAGAGTGCAAGGCGGAGGTGACTCCCTCACACAATGGCAGTCGCACCTTCAGCTACACCCTGGAGGATCACACCAAGCAAGCTTTCAACATCATGAATCAGTTGCGCCTAAGTCAGCAACTTTGTGACGTCACCTTGCGAGTCAAATACAAGGACATTCCCCCGGCCGACTTTCAGGCCCACAAGGTGGTGCTGGCCTCCTCCAGTCCAGTCTTCAAGGCCATGTTCACCATGGGCCTCCGGGAACAGGGTATGGAGATAATCCCCATTGAGGGCATCCACCCCAAAGTAATGGAGCGCCTCATTGAATTTGCCTACACCGCCTCCATTTCCGTGGGCGAGCAGTGTGTGCTGCATGTTATGAATGGGGCTGTCATGTACCAGATAGACAGTGTGGTGAAGGCCTGCTGTGATTTTTTGGTGCAGCAGCTGGACCCCAGTAATGCCATTGGCATCGCCAACTTCGCTGAACAGATTGGCTGTACCGAACTGCACCAGCGGGCACGGGAATATATCTACATGCATTTTGGAGAGGTGAGACCTGTGCAAGGAAAGGGCACCTAGGGGAACAGGAGCAGCCTGGGTATACCTCCAAAGGAAGTTTGAATTAGAATATGGCTTTGCTTTTGACTGCCTTTCACAATTGATTTGCTGTTCTTGATTATGGAAGAACAGCTCTTCTATCTCTCCCAAACAGGCAAGATACTATTTTCCCACCTTTTCTATGCTGCAAATCTTACCAAGTCACCACCTGGATGTCTGATATATACTCATTGTGTTTCTGCAGACATAAGGGGCTGGAAACTTGGTTACTTTGTGGTGAATGCTTAATAAGATACTGAAAAGTTTGGGGGGAAATTCTGTAGCCATCACTTTGCATTTAGAATGAAGCTAATGGGTTGGTTGATAATGTTTATTAAATTTATATCCTGCCTTTCATTCAGGAGTCCTAAGTGGCATGGCACTCTTCCTTCAATTTTTTCCCCACAACATCTTCCCTATCAGAGGTTGGACATAGGGAGAGCATAATAGACCCAAAGTCACCTAGTGAGCTTCCATTGCTGAGGGTGGTCAAGAACCCGGACCTCTCTATTCCTAACAGAGCCCTTAGCCCCAACACGTGCCCATAGCAGTATTTCTGCTGGGAGAACCTATCATCTGGCTAAACAGTGCAAAATAAAATAGGGACACTGCATGTCATGTGAGACTCTGCAGGGAAGCGAGTGTTTACTTCTCCTTGGGTGAAGTCTGTGCATAGACTTTGTGTCAATGAATGAAGTAGCACTGCTCCATGTTGGTTCATAATATTCAAAAATATCCTCCCTCTTTTTTTTGTCACCTTCAGAAGAGAAGTTGGCAAGCTCCAACAATAACTAGCCTGTAAGACTTTTGCTTGCTTCCTTCTTAAATTATAAGATTAAATGCCAAACTGTGTTTTGGGGGGGAAGAATTGCGAATACTGTAGGCTGGCTGGGTAGGCACGGCTTCCTCTTTTTCCACTGCAGGGTTCATTTTCCAGCCATTTCAGAAGACTAGAAGAAGCAGGGAGTGATCATGAATTAGCTGTTTCTGTCACTCCCTGCTGATCCAGCATAAAGTAACATGGATTGGCAAAGGACCCTGGCATTGCTTTCTCCCCGCTCCACTGGCCCCTTTGATTTTATGCTGAATGCACCAGAAAGAGCTTTATCATCAGACACCAATAAAGCTTTGCTTTGTGTGATTAGTGAAAGCCCATCCAGAAAGAGCAAGTAGAACAGAATTCCTAATTTTGTAGCCCATCTGCCTTCCTTGAGCTTCCTTCCTTGTCAATCCCAAACCTGAGTGATTGGATAAAGGAGGGCCAGATTGTGGTTATTCCCCTCCATCTCTCTGCACATCCTTTGTTTTTGCACACTAACTTGGTTAGAATTCCTGGTTGCTGTTGGCAAAAGATTTAAAGGCAAAACTGCAGCAGAGGCCTGGGAAGAAATCATGAGATAAAATACCCAGACACACCACAGTTTTTTAAATGTGTGTGAAGCATTAGAAATGGGACAAAATATGATAATTGGTTTTGGGGGTATTTTGCGTTGGACAATTGTGCAGTTTACAATGTTTTGGACAGTTGTGCAGTGAACAAGCCACAGAAGATCATTTGAGTTTGGGTTAATATAAACATTCAACCTTTGTGACAAAAATGGAGCATTTTGCTGCTTAGAGTCAGTCTAATAAATTAACCTGACCGGGTGTTCAAATGTAATGATAAACTAAACCTCCCACAGGGAAAGCTTTTGTTTGAAACAAAATTAATTCAATATCTGGATTTTATAAGGGAACAGCTGTTTGCCTGTTTCTTCATCCTAATAGACCATAAGAGAACTTACCGTATATGTAATCTAACATCCATTTTGTATCTGAGGAGGCCTAATCTGTAACTTCTATCTTCAGATTTTAAGATGGAAGCCACAGATTGGGCCTCATCAGATACAAAACTCTTGCAAAGGTGGATTGAATCCCTCATTTGAATCCCCCTCCAATCTGATTATCTGATTAATTGCCATCTTTGCTGAGGAAGAATTCTTCTAAAAATTGGAAACTTGCATGCTTTATTAAACTTCATTTGGTCTACTAATGATATTGCCTCAAATGTATTTTGCAATAGGCATAAATATTGCACGCTGTTTCTGTTTATCAGTGGACAGTTTGGTCAGTCCTAATAGCAAAATGAGAATGAAGAGTCCAGCTTCTTGTTGGCCTATTTGTAATCCTTGCATTGGTACCAAGAATCACATTTCAAGCTGTAAGAATTTTTATTATCTTCCTACTGCTGATTTAAACTGTCATCCAGGAATGTTATTTCCTTGATTTGCCTGTCATGTATCCGCAAGGGACATATACACATGAATACATATAGACACTAATACACCACATAATAACCACATATGGGGGGAATGATAGACAGAAAGAAATGAGGTATAATATTAAAATACAAAGAAATGAAGAAAGCCATTAGAAAATACCTGATGTGTGTCTCATAAAAATGCCATTTTCAAACCCAATAATTTTTTCTGTGTTTCTTATTTATACTGTACTGCATTTATCTTACGAGATGTCCATAAGTCTTACTCATGTTTTATAGATATCCAGAGTCTTGCCCATGGATTGTCACTTACCCTACTAAATTACAGTTTAATATTCTTGGCAGGTTGAGCTGAATTAAAAAATCTGTTTTACTCCTCAGAAATGATCTGTTTTCTTGGGGATCACATCTGATAAATTGAGTTTAGAAGGTGCTATGTGGGAGGAAAAATATGCAGGGTGATTATTTCAGCCAGTTGTCAACAATAGTATTGGCACCTACATTAACCCTATAAGAATCCACTCATTCTCCTTTTAGGATTTTTATTATTTTAGAAGTGCCAGTCCAAATTCTTTGATCTAGGCAACAACCTTATATGACTGGCAAAATAAAAATCTGCTTATAGATTATAGAACGCTGCTAGATCATCATTTCATACTGATAATTTCAGAGGCTAAAAATTCTAATTTTTATTTCAGATCTTTTATCTTCTTTAAACTTAGGGCAGTGCTTCATAGCAGCCTTCAACTACTGGCCTCCTACATTGATTCTGGTTGAAGATGAGCGTGGCTTTAAGAAATCTCTGTTTGGATTTCAAGTTTTGATAATGATGCTGGTCAGATGTTCTTGTGTTTTACAGGCCCTGAATGATTGATTCCCCTGCTTCTTTATCCCACCTGCCAGTGCTAGAAAAGCAGTTGCCAATTACTTTCCTTTCTCTGGGCACATCTCTGCAGGCATACGGTTTCCCTTTGTGTGACATTCAGCAACCATACAATGATATATGCAGAAAGAGTCCTAGAGCTCATCTAGAGCAGATTTTGCTTGCTTCTGAAGAGCGTATCATCCATCTGCTGTTGTCATCATTAGAAGGGGAAGCCACCCTTCCAAAGTTTGGTGGTTTTGCTCACAGTCTCTCTTCTCCTCCGGTAGGTGTCAAAGCAGGAGGAGTTCTTCAACCTTTCACATTGCCAGCTGGTGACCCTGATCAGCCGGGACGAGCTGAATGTGCGGTGTGAGTCAGAAGTCTTCCATGCTTGCATTAACTGGGTAAAATATGACTGTGAGAACCGTCGACTCTATGTCCAGGCCTTGCTGAAAGCTGTGCGCTGCCATTCCCTCACGCCACACTTTCTCCAGATGCAGCTGCAGAAGTGTGAAATCCTCAAGTCGGATTCCCGTTGCAAGGACTACTTGGCCAAGATCTTCCAGGATCTCACCCTGCACAAACCCACTAATGACATGCCCTGCCGTGCACCTAAGGTGGGCCAGCTGATCTACACGGCAGGGGGCTACTTTCGCCATTCCCTCAGCTATCTGGAGGCTTACAATCCTTCTGATGGCTCCTGGATCCGACTGGCTGACCTGCAGGTGCCTCGCAGCGGCTTGGCTGGCTGCGTAGTGAGCGGACTGTTCTACGCGGTGGGGGGGAGGAACAACTCTCCTGATGGCAACATGGACTCAGATGCCATTGACTGCTATAACCCCATGACCAATCGATGGTCTTCCTGTGCCCCTATGAGTGTGGCCCGTAACCGAATTGGCGTGGGGGTAATTGATGGTATGATATATGCGGTGGGCGGCTCATTTGGGAGCACTCATCACAACAGCGTGGAGAGGTAAGGGGACAAGAAGCATTACAAAAATTCAGTCTTGCCAAATCTTGCTGGTATACTCTGCTCCCTTGCTCTAGCTTGCAAGGTTTCACAAATGCAAAATGGTCTTATAAAGCTCTAGAGAGCTGGGCATTGTTTTTTGCTCCAGTAAATGGTGTGTCCTTTTGAAGATTTCTCCTGTTTTCCAAAAATGACAGAGAAGCACTTTTATCCAGACCTGGCACAGATAGACTAAAGCCGGTTTATGAGAGAAGGGGTGTCTCGAGTGTCTGCACAATGTGATTGCACAGCTTGGGCTGTTCCCATGGGGAGGGAAAGAGATTGCTGCTGACTTTCCCATCAGTCTCCGTAGTAATATCAGAACAAAGCCTTCTCGTAAAGGTAACAGGGACACCTGGATTTTTTCTCATGCACTTAGAAGTATTGATATGCATAAAAGAGTTAATGGTGCAGATGGGAACAGGGAGTGTTTTGGAGAGCCTCTAATATGGTAGTAGAGAGGCCTAAAGAAAATCCATCTGCTTCCTGATTCATCCTTCATCCAGCTTTCTCCCTTCATCAGTGGCTGCAGAGAACTGGCACAGTAAATTAGCAATTGTCAATTAGCATCCTTGTTCAAACAACATAGACAGCAGAAACAAGTACCTGATGTAGCTTCTCTTTTTTCCTCCAGGTACGAGCCGGAGCGTGATGAATGGCAGTCAGTGGCTCCTATGCTGACGCGGCGGATTGGTGTCGGTGTGGCTGTGCTGAACCGTCTCCTGTACGCTGTGGGGGGCTATGATGGCACTAATCGCCACAGCTCTGCCGAATGCTACTACCCTGAGCGTGATGAATGGGAGATGATTGCCACAATGAAAACCATTCGAAGTGGAGCAGGTATGTGTGCAGCAGCAGGAACTCCATACTTGGGACCACAGATGTAAAATTTCTGGAAATGTAGAAGCCACAGGGGGAAAAACTGGGCTTTCCTTTTTATTTTAATGGAAATTTTAAATTTGAAAAAATGGCAATATATGTACTTTTATGTATAACTTGGTTTATTCATGCCCCAATTGTCCCCTCCTTGCAGGATCTTTGCTCTTCTGATAATCTAGAAAGAAGTATCCCTGTAACAAGTTGTAGGGCACCATTTGGGGAAATGATTGACAGCAACGTAGGAGCCCTCTGTCATACTCCTTTCATAAATCTAGGAAAATGGTTCTTTGTTGTTTTGTTTCACTTTTTTATTCTTTCTCAAAAAATTTCATTTTCTCAAAAAAATAAGGCAGGGGAAATTGTCCCTGAGCTTTCTTATGTCTACCTTCAACAGAGAACCTTCATAGTTGCACATTGTAACCAGCTGCCGTCTCTCATTTTGTTGTTCCACCTCCTCAGTTTAAGTCTAAATCCTGTTATCTCAGTGGAGGAGTACATTTGGGTTCTATAACTATGTTCTTTGTTGCCAGGGATGGTAGCGGTATCCGGAAATGGATAGGAATACCTAGTTGGCGGTTGCTGTGATATGTTAGCTAAGCACCTGGCATATAAAATCCAAGCAGAATTAGATGCTGGCAGCACAGAGTTCAAAGATGTAATGGCTTATGATGTCATCTGGGAAGGTTGAACCTGTTAATCTTGAGGAAATGGGCAGAATTCCTGGTGCAATGAGCTGTACTGGCTATGGGCTTGACTCCTACCAGTTGCTAGAGTTAGGCAGCAAATCCAAGCTTTGGTGAGGTGGGGAGAAATCACAAGTTGGCAACCTGAGTGCCTGGATTACAGTCATGTGACCCCCCAAGAGTGCTGCGATGGGCAGAACCCTCACGCCGCCATTTTTTTCAGTGCCACTGTAACTTTGAATGGGCCCTGGACGAATGGATCTAAGCCAAGGATGACCTGTAATACCATAAACTGGGCTATGGTGGGATTGTGCTTCAGACCCAACTGGTGATAGTTGTCCAATTTAGTTTTACACTGGAGTTCTGGACCTAAATTGAGATTGATGAACTGGACGTTGATTTTGGTTGCAGCAAGAATAGAGACCTCATGAGTGCTAATTCCATGGTATTGTTATGCTTGGGGAGATTTCCCTACATTCAAAGCGCAGTGTGGATGTTTCCTTGCTTCTGCTTGATGCCAAAAAATGGACATTCTAGGTCCAAGAATAACATTGCCTTCTACTTGAGCAATATTGTCCAGGATAGATAGAAAAGATCTCCAGGCATTGTTAAAAGGCCCTCCAGGAATTGTTAAACTCTAGCCGAGCCCTAAGTGCAATAGGCTTTCCACTGCAGATTAAGGTTGCAAGAGATCCTGATCTTGAAAACGTGTTATTCCCTGAGTGTTGGGATAAGTCATGCCTGTCTTAATGCTGTTCTTTCCTAATGCAGGAGTTTGTGCTCTGAATAACTGCATATATGCCATGGGGGGCTACGATGGAACAAACCAGCTGAACAGTGTGGAGCGCTATGATGTGGAGGTGGGCACCTGGTCCTTTGTTGCATCCATGAAGCACCGTCGGAGTGCCCTCGGGGTCACTGTATATCAAGGCAAGATCTACGTTCTAGGTACGTTTGGCCAAAGACTATAGCAAGTACCCCTTGGCTGGATGTGGGAAAGTACAGACAGCAGCCACAAGCTAGGGCCATTGTGTCCAGGGATGGCTTAGCTCACTTTGTTAATGAGGTGGGAACAAAAGCCAGATTTTATTTGTACAGTTAATAATCCATTCTTGCACATATTTACTTGGATGGCTTAGTGAACTCTTGAGTACATTATATTGAGGTGCACTTGGTTGAAATCAGTGATGCAGACGTATGTAGAAGTGCTCTTATTTGTGTGCAAACTCTATCTCAAATAGCAATTTCAGAAAGATTCCCTGATGAAAGTGTTGAAGCGTTTCCAACTACTGAAACACCGGGCTCTTGGAAATCTTGATCAAAGAACCAAGGGCAAACATAACATTCCATTATAATTATAATTCAGGTTCATTTATATTCTTATTTGTATGATGCCATTTGCCCCATTCAGCTTGGTAAATACTTTGCCACAATGGATGTGGCAAAATAACAGGATTTATGCTAGCAAGAGGCAGAGGTCTCCTAGCTAGAAGTCTTACATGCTAATCATGGCTAAGAGTCTTCCACCCTCTTCTCTTTGTTGCTGAGATTTCACATGGCTGGCTGTTATCTTTTGCCAAATAAAGCTACTTTCTACCCAGGAAATGAGAGCTGTCCTGTGAGTACAAAGCTGTCCTGCACAGCTGGAAGACAAGGCTTTGGGGTGGTGCTTCTGATTCAGCTCAGTTCAGTCAAGGGCCTTCAAATAGCCTCTGACCTCTCTTGGTTAATTGCTGTTTGTTTTGCTGCAGGTGGCTATGATGGACAAACGTTTCTGGATAGCGTTGAGTGTTATGACTCCACCACAGATACCTGGACTGAAGTAACTTGCATGACATCAGGCCGCAGTGGGGTAGGTGTTGCCATTACCATGGAGCCATGCTGCAAGCAAACTGAGCAGCAGAAATGCCATTGTTAATGGTAACAAGGAATGTGCTCCACTTCCCTTCAAATGGAGAGGATTCAGTATTATAAAATACCTGCTGCCAAGTTGTATTCTGCCAGAATAAAGGAAAAGTGCCAAAAGGATGAGAAACATTTTAAATCCCATTTGAACTGGCCTTGAGGCAACAATGAAAAACAACTCTTGCTCTGTGCTTTACAAGGATAGCTGTAGTAAATTTGTTGTTGCCTCTGCACGCCGCCCCTGCCTCAGTTTGGGATAGATTCATCAGTGAAGAAGGAAACCTCTCTGGGAGAACTATAGGAGAGCTTGATTCACACTGGCTGTCTGTTTTCTGGCCCCTGGCAGTGAATGGACCATCAGGAAAGGACCTCCAGATCAGGATGGGTGGAAGTATTTTGTACATAGTGCAGCCCTGAGCCCTCCTTAGAAATGTGTCTTATTCGTAGTTTGGCGACCAGTTTTTGCTTGGCAGGTTTGTCCAAGTACAGATGGGGAAAGGGGAAAAGTTGTGGGGCACTCTTCTGTGACTGATGATCTGCAGGCACAGTGCATCCAGAAAGTATTCAGACCCGCTTCACTTTTATCAATTTTGTTTGCTGCAACCTGATTCTACAGTTGTTGAAATTCATTTTTTCTCATTAATCTACACTCAGTATTCCATAATCACCAAGTGAAAAATTTATGTCTGTAAATTTGTTAAAAAGAAAAAAATGAAATATCATATTGGCATAAGTATTCAGACCCTTCACTCAGTAATTGTTGAAGCACCTTTGGCAGCAATTAACAACCTTGAGTCTTTCTGGGTATGACGTGACAAGCTTTGCACATCTGGATTGGAGAATTTTCTGCCATTCCTTTCAAAGCCTCTCAAGCTCAATCAGGTTGGATGGCGACCGTTGGTGGACCAGCTATTTTCAGGTCCCTCCAGAGATGTTCAATAGGGTTCAAATCAGAGCTTTGGCTGGGCGACTCCAGGACATTCACAGAGTTGTCCCTAAACCACTCCTGAGTTGTCTTGGCTGTGTGCTTAGGGTTGTTGTCATGTTGGAAAGTGAACCTTCGGCCCAGTCTGAGATCCTGAGTGCTGTGGAACAGGTTTTAATTGAGGATATTCCTGTACTTTGCTCCATTCAGCTTTCCCTCAACCCTGACCAGTCTTCCAGTCCCTGCTGCAGAAAAACAACACCCACCCATCCTTGGCGTGATGCTGCTACCACGTTTCACTGTTGGGATAATATTGGGCAGGTGATGAGCCTGGTTTCCTCCAGACATAACGTTTAGAATTGAGGCCATCTTGGTTTCATCAGACTAGAGAATCTTGTTCCTCACAGTCTGAGAATCCTTGAGATGCTTTTTTGCAAACTCCAAGTGGGCTTGCATGTGTTTTTCACCGAGGAGAGGCTTCTGTCTAGCCACTCTGCCATAAAGCCCAGATCAGTGGAGGGCTGCAGTATGGTTGTCCTTCTCCACATAGGATCTCTGGAGCTCAGTCAGAGTGACCGTTGGGTTCTCTTACTAAGGCCCTTCTCCCCCAATTGCTCAGTTTGACGGGGCAACCAGCTCTTGGAAGAGTCCTGGTTGTGCCAAACTTCTTCCATTTGAGAATTATGGAGGCCACTATGCTTTTAGGAAACTTTAGTGCAGCAGACATTTTATTATAGCCTTCCCCAGATCTGTGCCTTGCAATAATCCTGTCTCTGAGCTCTACAGGCAGTTCTCATGGCTTTTGCTCTGCTACACTATGCATTGTTAGCTGTGAGGCCTTCTAGAGAGAGGTGTGTCTTTCCAAATCATGTCCAATCAATTTAATTTACCACAGGTGGATTCCAATAAAGGTGTAGAAAGATGTCAGCAACCATCAAGAGAAATGGAAGGCACTGGAGCTAAATTTCAAGTCTTATTGCAAAAGGTCTGAATACTTATGCCAATGTGATATTTCAGTTTTTTCTTTTTAATAAATGTACAGACATTTCTAAAATTCTGTTTCCACTTTGTCATTATGGGGCACTGAGTGTAGATTGAGAAAGATGAGTGTATAATCAGGCTGCGGCATAACAAAATTGACAAAAATGAAGGGGGTCTGAATACTTTCTGAATGCGCACTGTAAGTGAACACTGATCACTACAACTTGAAAACTCAGGTGGACCTTTGCCTATGCTGCTTTTCTATTATCCCACAAGGAAGGGCTTACCCAGATGGCTACCTGCATTTTTCCCCTTACCTATGGGTGGTACATCCTCTTAGGAAACTGGTTTTAAAGCTCTACTCACACGAATAAAACACTTTTTGTGATTAATATTAATGTTTATTTTGCTTCAGTCTGCATTTATTCCATTAACACTCTCCAGAATACTGTTCTGCCAAAAGATATAACACAGAATGATCCACTGAAATATATTTTGCTCCTAGGAATGTCTATTATATTATCTACTGTTTGCCAAAAGCCGCCTGTTCACCATGATGTATTCACCAGATTCCAGAGGTAATCACTGATAAAGCAAGGAGAATGTTGGCTACTGTCCAGGTTGATAGATTGAGCAATATCTGGTCCATAATGGGCTGAGAACAAAGAAAAAAGTTAAGGAAAAAATTACCTGCGTTTCTTCCTTGGCCCAACACCCAGTTCCATGGAAGGGAAAATATCAAGCTCGAAATCCACTCTCTTTCTCCCTCAAACTATCTAAATGGTGGGATGTCTTGCTTCCCTGGAATGCTCTCCCTCCCTCCCTCCCTCCCTCCCTGGAATCCAGACATTGCAGAAGGATACTTCCTTTGATCAGGGGTGGTTCACAAGAATAGTCCCAGTCAATCTGGCAGATCTGATAATAAAGATGTACAAGATACCTGGCAGACATAACAAAACATGAGTTACTTGTTCTGGTGCAGATCCTATCATTACAATTGCTAAAATATGCTCATAGGCTATGATTCACAGGCCTCATGTCAAATGAATCTGGAAAATGCAAAACAAAGGAAAGCTGGATGTGTAGTGATTTCCTGGAGTGCTTTTGTTTTTTGTTCAAAGCAGGTTTTCTCAAAATAGTCAATATTGATCCCCAAAGGGAGTAGCAGTAGTCATTAAAGTAGTTTATATTATCTTCATATAATAAATGTTTGAAGTCTGAGGAATAATCTGAGGTTTCATGAAGGGGTTGTTGAACTGAGGAGTTTGGGGACCCTGATTAAAAACCTACTTCTTTTTCCCATTGTCCCATTTAAAAAAAACAACAACATGCAAGTGTTCCAAGTATCCTGCATGCAATAACTAGTTACAAGTATCCACAAATGTATATTTTTACTCAAGTTCATAACTTCAAAGCAAGATTGTCAAACTACCTCATGTATCCCCTTGACAAATCAAAAGGAAATTTTGAGGGGTGGGGGGTGGGAATGATATACATTAATGTAGCCTTTTTATGGTTTCATCACCATTTTAATAATTTAGAATGTTTATATGGATGTCCAACTCAAACAACTTGCATAAAGGAAATGGATAACCAAGATAGAAGCCAAGTAGCCTAGTCTTGTAATTCACCTTTTGAAAATGAAAAAGATTAGAGGTAAGATTTTACTCACGTAGCTGACATAGTTCTGTCAGTTTCTTCTGTTGCTTTCTGCTGCTGCTGCCTGCTTTCTTCTCTCAAAGTCTCCAGCTGTTTTCTCAATTCAGTATATTGTGTGAGTGAAGGAATTCAAGTCTCCAAACTAACAGAGCTCTTAACAATAATACTCCATTAATAATAGTTTCCATATTGTGGGAAATGGTGCTATAATACCTCAAGCATATTCCAAAATAAGTGCCTGGAAATCTTTCTAGCCTTGGTGTTTAAGCACCAAGGTACACTTCTGCACCAACTAATCCATTGGTTGTCCGGTTTTCTTCTGCAACAGAATCAAATCTGAGCAAAAGAGTTAAGTGAACTATCCCAATAAACAAATACAAACTGTCTCAGCCTTTTTGAAGAGGCTATACACAGAATTGTTTATTGGTTCACTTTTATTTTCAAAATCCAAATTAAAGCAAAATCTAATCAGTTTATAGAATGACCTGTCATTGTTTTCTTGCCCTGAGTAAACTTTATAAATGGCAGGTGTGGTTGGAATCCTGCTCAGAGAACTAATTTTAACAAGCCAAAGAAGACTCTTACACAACATAGCGTGCATTGGATAAAAAAATATAGAATGTGCCCTAAAGGACAGTTGCTTGCAACAAACAGGAAAGACCTTAAAATATGTTACGCTACAAAAGAAGATTCTACCATCCAGCTTATTTTTTTCTTCTTTCACATCCTAAAACCTCAAGTCTCTCCTCTAATACTTCCCAATATACCAACTTACTTTTGTCAAAATATCTGTGTGATAGAAGAAAAACTCTACAGCTCCTTTGGGATTTTTTGTGGGATGGGTGGGGGGAAATGAGTTGCTCCTTTTTAAACCCTTTGTCAGAACCCTGTCCTTCTATGGGCATGGGGTTTCTTGTTCTTTTCAGGTTCTGCCATTCTCCTGGGGGCGGGGTAGTTTGGGGCTGCTGATGTGCGTTTCCTCTTGCTCTGTTCCTTCCTCTATCCTCTGATGTTTCTTCATTGGGATGAGAATGGAATGTGCCTAACAGCCTTGGAAGCGGCGCCTTATTGTCCTGTTCCCACAGCATTTTCACACCTGCGGATTGGCCTGTTTTACTACTGATTCTTTTGACCCATTGATTGGTGTGGGAAACCCTCAGATCCTGCCTTCTATTCCTGCCGTCAACATCTCCCAATAAAAGTTTCTTTTTGGGATGTTTCAAGAGTTCTGCTTTCTTGGGAGGACTGATTGAGGCAGGTGCTTACACCTTTTGCTATTTTCCCCTTTCGCAATGCCCCTATTAAACTACAACATAATTGAGCATTCTGTCTTCCTATCCCTTTTTTTCACCTTTAATTGTCCTACAACAGAGAGAGAAATTATAGGTAACACACAGGGAAAAATATGTTCCAGAGACTATGTTTGTCTTGGCTATGTGAAACATATCACCCTAGTCAATTTTATAATAAAGGCATCAGATCCTGCTTCCTGTTGGGCACAGAAATTTCCATTATTTTCAAAACTCCATAGATAATGGTCTATCACCTAGTTATGAAGTGCCTGGATTCCGCAAATTGTCCAGCTCTGATTAATGGAGAGGCACTTGTTTATGATAGCACATACACATCAGATTACCTTTTATCAACAAGAGTTAGGTTAGGTGGCTAAAGGGCCAAAAGCAATTAGAACAACTTCAGGCAATCCTTGCTTAATTATGGTAATCGGACCAGCCATTCCATCACTAAGTGCTTTTAAAGTGACATCATGAGACACCGACTTATGATGGCTCTTCCAGCACTTTTAGATGCTAAGTGAATTCTACACAGTTGTTAAGCATGAAATCCTGTGGTTGCCATTTGTGACCTCCTGCCTGACTCCCCATTTTACTTTATAGGAAGTAGCAGGGAAGCTTATGTTATAAAGATTATAAAGTGCTAGTTATAACCGTTAAAGCCCTGCATTGCATAGGTCCAGATTACTAAATGAACCATCTTGTCCCGTTAAGACAAGCTCACTCTACACATGCCAGCAGAGGAGGTCTGCCGAGGACCCCATCGGTCAAGGAGTACCTCACTGGAGATGGTTGATGGACTAACTTGCTGACCCCACCTCCATCCTGCACTTCCTGCTTCTGCTCCACTCATCTTTTTAACTTCATATTACTGTACTTCCACTGTTTATTTTTGTTTCGTTCCTTTACTATTGTTATTTTTACAGTTTTATCGTATTTTTTTACGTTTTATTGTAAGCCACCCAGAGTAGCCCTACAGGAAAATGGGCACCAAATTTAACAAATCTATATAAATAAAAATGTAAATGTTCGTTTGTTCAAAATCTTAAATCATTGAAAGTTCTTCACCGATTGCTTTGAAATTTTGACACAACGTTGCATTCGAATACGCGCGTGTTTTTATATACCTACTATTATATAGATGTCACACCTGTGACAGGTAAAAACATGCTTTTTTGAAAAACAGCGCCATCTGTTGGACGTAAAAGCAATTTTACATAAACAAAAACATATTACAAATGTGCGCTTTCTCTTTTCTTTCTTTTCCATTTAACCAGACTGAGCCACAGCAGCGCGTGGCCGGGTACAGCTAGTAAATAATAAATAAATGGCAATCACATGACTGTAGGATGCTGAGACAATTGTAAATACAAGTTAGTCACCAAGTGCCCAAATTGTAATGAGATTACTGCAGGAACACTATGATAATCAGAATTTTGAGGATCAGTTGTAAATCCCACCCATTCACCTCCATTGTAACTCTGAATGGTCATTGAAAGACTGCTTTTAAGCAAGAACTACCTGTACTTCTGATTTCAACATCTTGAGAGCTATGCCAATTCTACCATGAAGCATAATAGGACACAATTTCTGTCAAGCCAACAAGACCTTTTTAGGTGGCTCTGATGCTGGACTTCCTGTTCATGACATCAGAAATACTGAAGAAAAAAATGACCTTTAATCCCAAGGTAGGACAGTTCAACCAGTCTTTGAATTCTGGTCACAAGTTGTTCTCAACGACAGAGGTAAAGGTTTATAGCTAAGAAACTCAACATGCTGTTTTACATATATTACATCACTTTTTCCTGCATACAAGACAGTGGTTGATTTAGGACAAACTTGCTGCTTTCTCTAGGAATTAATAGTGTAAAAGCAGTTTGGACAGAGAGAGCTCCTTTTTAGTTTGTTTTTGCCTGTGCTTATTAGCACTTATTTCTTTCTCTGCCAGTACTTATACAATTTTACTTGCTATTATATCGGCTTCTGACTAACAGAGTAACTAATAGAGATTAAATCATATAAAACCAGAAAACTAAAATCATAAGACTGATTTACTTTGGCCATGTTATGCATGCAAATTCACTGGGAAGGCAATGATGCTAGGAACGGTTAGTGGACAAAGAAGAAAGGGCAAGCAAAGAACATGCTGCCTTGATAACATCAAATCTGATACAAAATTGAACATAACAATTGAAAGAAATTGTTTGCAGGGTAGCATGGAGAGCATTTGCCTGTAAAGTTGCCAAGAGTTGGACACAATTAAAAGGTTAAAACAAACAAACATATTGGCTTCTAGTGTATTATGTTTGGTATTCTAAATTTCGCTGATGTTTGCCAAAGTACATTGACTTTGGGGTTCAACACAAATCTAAGGCTCAAAACACTCAACCTATTGGATGCTAGTTGAACACTAAGAAGAAATCCAATTTTCCCTTATGGATGTTCTCAAACCACTTTGGACTTGAGCCAATATTTTACTGTATTATGTATGGCAGTGATGGCGAACCTTTTAGAGACCGAGTGCCCAAACTGCAACCCAAAACCCACTTATGCATCGTTGGGTGCCGGGTGGGTGTGGCCCACATGGTGGGCGTGGCTGCGGTGGTAACGGCAGACTGGGTGGGACTAAAAAGTTCAATCAATCAATTCCAACTTTGCAAGATCTTTTTTTTTTCCGCGAGAAGTTGAAATTGACTGATTAATTGAACCTTTTTTTTTGTACACGGCGGTGGAGATCTAAAGCGAAAAGGTTTATGAAACCCAGCTGAAGGCCCAGGACTGGGGTGAAGGCGTGCGTGCCCACAGAGAGGGCTCTGAGTGCCGCTTCTGGCACCCGTGCCATAGGTTCACCACCACTGATATATGGCTTAGAAAGGATTTAACATTTAGAATAAAGATATGCAAAATATACCATCCTACAATTTTTTCTCTGACCACATCAGTGCAGCTGTTCTGGAGATAAGACTGGTAATTTTCCAGAAATCAATTCTCTCAGCCAAAAGCGGATTGTTCTGTTCCAGATATGAGCTTCCAATTAGGAGAATAAGCTTCTAGAAAATCACCCAACTTGACAGGTACAGTCCAGAGAAGGAATTAATTGTTAGGTTTCAGACCTACCTAGTCTGGAGGGAGGGAGATCATCTTAACTCCTCACCAGAAGCCAACATGAAAGGATATTTAGTATTGATCCTCAATTTTTCATCCTTTTCATTTGTCTGAAGGAGTTCTTGTTCAATTTTCTGCAGCTTTTGGATGCTCGCCTTGAACTCCTCTTCCTTGTCAGAAAGTCTCTGTGCCACTTTCTCCTCAGTAATCATGAGGTCTATAGTGAAAGCAGAATACAGTATATCTCCAGTTAAAATATAGCTGGTTAGCAAAACTGAATGTCAGCATTAGTTTTCTTTCTCGTCATCTATTAAAATACTCAACAAATTTCTACAAATGCCCTCATCAGTCTGGGCTTTATTTTAAGTTTTCTTTAATTTGATGATCTCCAAACATACTAAGATTTCTCATAATCCTTGCTATCATAGCAACAATTCATTAATTTGACAACCCTAGTTTGGGGAAAATAATCCATAAATATGCAACAAAGATGTGCAGTATGAACCATGCACAAATCATTCCTTTTAAAGAATAGTTGGTTTCAAATGATATAGCCAAGCTAAAATATGCCAGTTTGATTTATGTGACAAAATGGATCTAATGTATTTGTTTACAATGGAGATTAAAATACAGATTTCCAGTTTGAGAGAATAGTAGAAAAAACAAAGTGGAGAATTTCTTTGATGGCAATGCTGCAGTGATAATAAGGGCAATGAAAAATGAAAAGGACATGAGAAATGAATGACCATTATTTGATGGTTATTCATTATTCATTGGTTATTCAGCTGCATAATCATTGTTATATTAGGAGGGTCCCTGGTGCTTCCTATAGACACCAATGGCTGCCTTCTTTGCTCTTTTATTATATGGAAATCAGTAGCAGTTCAGAATGGGAAGGACAGGCATTGGAAAACCAGTCAGATAATAGATGCGGAGAGCTGCAGAAATGGTAATGGTGGAATCATGGAGAATTATCTTTTTTTTTAATAAATCAGGGCAACATACATCAGTTTTGCACTACTTGCTCCATATCTGTCAGGGATATTCCTACAGGTTTTGCTAAATTGAAACAGGGAACAATCAAAACTTTCTGACTTTTTCCCTACCAAACTGCGACCATTTCAAAACAGTAGAATTTCCAAAACTACAATTTAATTTATTTTTGAAACAACATATTTTCTCCACTGGGTACATAGCCGTAATCCAAATTCAATGGGCTACAGTAAAGAACTGGAATACTAAAGAAAGGTACTTATCATATGAGGACCTCTAGATCAATTTAGTCTTTGAGTTTAGCAATGTGAGAATGAGTAAACTGTGGCCCTAGAATCACACTTGTCTTTTGGCTTGTTTTTAATCTTCTACTATGCTCAGTTTTCAACTCTTTGATTTGAATTCTTAGTAAACTTTTAAAAAAAAAGAGGTAAATCTTTTTAATCTAGAAATGTATAATTCAAATATGTTATATTTGAATTATATATATGACTGCTTATATATATCAAAGTAGGACTGTTCTGTTTTCAATATACGAGACCAAATGTTGCAAATCACAATTTATTTTAAAACAATAAATTCTAAGCGGGATTTCTCTCTCTGTGTGTGTAGTGGTTAAGTTTAAATTTTCCTCCTTAAATAACAAATGTACCAACAAAATCTTGACTGCAAGGTTAAGTCAGGAAAAGACAAAAAGTACCTTTGATCAGCTGTTTTGTGGTCTTCTGAGTATTCAAAAGTTTGTCAATCATTCGCTCCTGTTGGGACAGATTGTGCTTCAGCATCTCCACTGCCTTGCCTTCTGTCATCAGTTTGAGCAGCTCCCTTCTCACTTTTTCCATATCTCCAATTCGTTCATTGACAGCAGCCATTGCAAGTGCCAAGCTAAGAGGAGAATCCTGATGTCTGAGGGAAACTTAGGAAGGCATATGGTTCTTTAATGAAGGAAATGTGAATCCCCACCAAGTTTTCACCTAAAGCCCGGTATAGATACAGGGACCCATAAGCCCTTTATTACAAAAGACAATCCTTTATTTCAGAAAGTTGCCCATTAGAGTTAAGTTAATCATATATTTTCTTGGTTTTGCTCTTGATTTTTCTTTTGTAAAACAATGTTATAAACACATTTTTATTATCCTCTCTCAGGTTTGTCCCTTTTTTCAGGTCCACATTTTATCTTTTCCAAGAAAATATGCTCACTGTAAGTTTAGGATAGTATAAAGTTAAAATGCTAAATAGCTTTTCTGTATCCTCCATCTTCACTCATGAAAACTCACTGGGTGACTTTGGCCTTCCATTCTCTCTACCTACCTACCTACCTACCTACCTACCTCAAAAGATTGCTGTGATCAATAAATGGAGAATAGAATGCTACGTACATCTTTTCCTCTTTGGCACAAAAGATGGGATATATGGGTAGTCCTTGACTTACAACCTTTCGTTTAGTGACTGTTCAGTTACAACAGCACTGAAAAAAGTGACTTATAACCATTTTTTCACTTATTGACCACTACAGCATCCCCTTGGTCATGTGATCAAAATTCAGACACTTAGCAACTAGGATATATTTATGACAGTTGCAGTGTCCCAGGTCATGTGATCTCCTTTTTTGACCTTTTGACAAAGTCAATGGGGAAGCCAGATTCACTTAATCACCATGTTACTAACTTAACAATTGCAGTGATTCACTTAACAACTGTCTTGCTTAGGAACAGAAATGTTGGGCTCAATTGTGGTCGTTAAGTAGAGGACTACCTGTAAAGGGTAGCAGGGCTGTGAATTCTGAAGAAAAAGTGGGATATATGAACCAAACAAACAAAACAAATAAGTTAAAAAGGGCTTCTTATATACAAAACAAAGTATGATGTAACTACAATAGCACCGGATATGGGAAAGGCCCAGCAAGCAAGCTCCTTATTGACATGCACTTCCAATACAGTGCTAAAGCTGAATTTTGGGCAATTAATACAAGCTCCGAGCGTCGGTTTCCCTCTCCCGGACTTCGAACACGTGTAGGTGAGAATCCATATCGTGCAACCACCCACTCTCGCCACTCGTGCAAGCCGTTCACGTCTTACCCAATGCCACCGATCCAGACGAATCCAATCCTGGCGCCCTTAAATCTATTAGGAATACGCCGCTCCTATTGGTCGTCGCCAAGACCCGCAGGGGTCTGATTGGTCACCTGCATCATGTGACCCCAAAACTGGACGTGTTCAAAAGTTCTTTTCCGCCTGCGCAAACCGCCACTGTATTGCAGGCTTTTCCGAGTTTCCAAGAAGTAGGAAAGTTAGAGTTGCGCACTGCTGCGATTTTTTTCGACGCTCCCATTTGAACGGCGAGCGGATTTTCTCACGATAGCTTCTGATGTGAAGACGTAGTTGATCTTCAGTAGAGACTTGGACAGTCTTAATCTTGAAAACAAGCAAAATCTTTAGCGATTTTCATTTTTTTCGCCGAATTGTGTCCATTTCATACTTCTGCCGCCTAACAGTATCATTCACGCATGTGCTTCTTTTCCCCTCCCATTTTGTTTGTGCGCATGCGCCTACTTAGTCTCATTTTCCCCATTCAGCAAATGGGTCGTTTTGAAAGAGGAAAGGTGTGCTCTGACCTTCAACAGACGACAGAGGGCGCTACTTCGCCTGACGGATCTGCTGTCTAAAAGCTTGAAACGGCACTTAAAAGGAAAGGCAGTTTTGCATAAATTTTGTATATCCGCGGGTATGTGTATAGATGCTAAATTAGAAATAATATATACGATGGCGTATCATGAATGCTAAAAAGTGCTAGGTAATTCTAGCTGTTTGAATGGGCAGTTCTTCAAGAGGGCACCTTTAAACTGAAAGTTATTTTCATGGTCACTTTATTTATATAGTGCTTTTATCTTATCTACAGTAGCAACAGTTAATAGGCAAGTATATTTATTTAGTAACAGAATTATTTGCTGATCGTTTTGGAGCCAAGTATAAAACTATATTATAGTTTCCTCTCATACACATATGAGACTGTAATCCTATTAACTATCTTATGAATTATTAAATAAAAATCTTTTTAATTACCTATGGAGATTCTTAGTCATACACGTCAAGAATGCTCCCAAAGTGTTTTTTTCCAAAAGGCAACTGGACTTTTTTGGTTTTTCCTTTGAAAACATTTTGCTTCTCATCCAAGAAGCTTCAGAAGTGAAGAAGCTTCTTGGGTGAGAAGCGAAATGTTTTCAAAAGGAAAAGCAAGAAAGTTCAGTTGCCTTTTGGAAAAAGCACCTCTAGTTCAGTCTGAGCCAAGGTGTAAAAACTCTATCTGAAGGAGTGTCCATTAGGTTCATGTAGTTCCTATTATTTGAATCCCATATATTTTTTTTGTTTGACCACCTAATTTTTTTATATTTAGCCAGACCTGACAATATAAATGGGGTTATGTGTACTGTACAATGTTTGAAATCATCTCATACAGACTGATGTTGCATAATGCTCCTAAACTGCTCAACTGAAGATTTAGCAGCTGCATTTGGACATCAGCACATGTGGTTAGTGTTAATGTTGAATTGCCTTTTCGGGGGCATGTTTTTGACTCCAACCAGCTCAATTAACTAGTTATTCAATGCACCTGCAAAGTCAGAAAAATTGATAGCTAGATTAAGCACATTTGGGCTAAGGCAGCCATAGTGAAGCCCAGATTTCTCTCCTTAAAAAGTAGCTACTGCTTTTTCTATTTCAACAATCATGTTGACCAATTGGATCTCTGAAGATTGCTCCTGCTCCCCTCATGTTCTCAGATTTAACCTTGATAATATTCACAAACAGATCCTACTCTAACCCAGTGATAAATCCATCTATTTATTCTCTGAAAAGACTATGGACAAGTAACATCATTCACACATAGGAGTTATTCTCCCATGTATTTTCCAAAGTAATTTATTTATTTATTTATTTATTTATTTATCAAATTTATACCTTGCCCTTCTCCTAACGGACTCAGGGCGGCTTACAGCCAGTTAAAACAGATAACTAATACAATAATACTAATTTTAAAATATGATTAAAATGAAATATTCATTATTGGCCGTTTCTTTTTAAAATTATTTTAAAAACCAAATTAAAATACCCCTTAGGCCAGTCCGGCTAGCTGAAATAGCCATGTCTTGAGGGCGCGGCG